TTCATTTCCTTTATAAAAACGTGAATGAAGTTTTCAATATATATAAGCTGTTGTGCAGAATAAACAAGAGTAATATAGTGCAGAAAAATAAAAGAGAGGGAAGAGAATATCAAGCCGTGATTTATAGTGGTTTCTCCAATCCGAAGTACATCTACTCCCCAAGCCTCCTTGCTCGAGAGTTCAATCCACTAGAAATCTTTTGCTTACGGATGCAAGATTAAACCGGAATAAACTCTTGCGTACAGGTGCAAGATTAAACCCTCACAAGTGAATCTCAACTCACTCAACCCCTTCAAGGATTATCCCAATCCAAGAAGAATACAAAACCCTTGTAAGACAATTAACCCAAAAGCTCACAAGAAGAGAAGAAGAAGGAGATCCAGAACACTTTCAAAAACAAACTTTGTTTTTCTGTATTGCTGGAGCAGTTCGTCCTTTTTCATTCATGCAAATCTGATTTTGATGTCCTTTTAATAGTTGGTTAGGAGCCTTGCAATTAAAGCCCATTTAGCCCTTCAAAGCCACCTCACAATTGCTCCAATTAGATTCCACCTTATTTTACTAATTTTGACTTGACTTTGGAAAGTGCTTAGACAATTGGTTCCCCAAGGCTCATTAAGAATAAAAAGAAACGGATAGTTGAACTGTCAAAATTTACCCTTACAGAATTTTTGCTTCAAAGTCAGAAATAATGGTTCAAATCATTTTCGAAAAAAAGAAGTTCGGGATTGGTTCAAATAAAAAATAATTGGTTCGAACCCAGAACTCTAAGCATGGAGGATATGATTCAATTCTAATCGTGAGGAAAGATTAGAATTCTTGAATTAACTTTCTTGTACACTTAACACAAAAATAGATTAAATTCTTTTGACTCATGGTTTTAAACCATCATCAAAATACAAAGAGAACCTAAAAGAGATTACCATTGACTTAGTCATTGGCAACTTCTTTTTCTTCCTTTTCAAAACAACTTCTTTTTCTTCCTTTTCAAAACACACACACACACAAAAGAAAAGTAAAATTACTTAATAATTATTCCTTTTTTTGTGCCCTTAGATAGACCGTATTAAAAAAATAGTAGAGTTTTTAATTTTTCACCAAAGTATGATAATTTAAGAGGGGACTAGTCTACATATGTTAAAAATAATTAAATCCGTTGCTTTGTCAAGTAAATGGTTTATTTTCAATTGAAGAGTAGAGTACTACAACTATAAAGTTGAAGGGTTGTTGAAGATGGAAGGTCGGAATGTGCTTTGAGCAAAGTTGAAGTGTTGTTGAAAATGATTTACCCAACTACTGTTTCTAATTCCTTTGCTGTTTTGCTGCAAAAATGGACGTTACAAGGGAGGACCCTTTTCTTACTTGGCTATGGTACACTCTTTGTGCTTCGTTGTTGGAATCTAAGTTTTGTTCCTTCACTTTTTTGTTCTGTTTTGGGTTGTATTCGCTAGCTAATTCTACTCCTCCTCATCTTAGATATGGTTAATTTTGTGATTTTGTCCATGTTTACTTGATTATTTCATTTGGGGTACAGGAAGAGGTGGTTTTCTGGGGATGTTATGTCTATTGTTGCTGATTTTGTTGCAGCATTTGTAATTTATTTCCTCTTTCAAGTTTAAAGAAATCAGAGATGGACTACTTGGTAAGTTGCTTGTTATGTCTTCTCTTCATCTGGTTTTTGGTTCAAGTTTGTAGTTCAGTCACAAGTGGAAGAAGAGAAAGTTCTGTTAAGCTCCCACCTGGTCCACGGCAGATTCCAGTATTTGGAAACCTCTTGGATGTTGGTGACAAACCCCACAAGTCTCTGGCCAAGCTTGCCAAAACTCATGGCCCCATAATGAGTCTAAAACTGGGCAACTTAATCACAATTGTAGTTTCCTCAACAGACATGGCTAGGGAAGTTCTTCAGAAGAATGACCCTGTCTTCTCTGACCGAACCGTTCCTGATGCCGTCCGAGCTCACCAGCATCATGAATTTGGGCTGCCTTTTGTACCCGTTTCCCCTCTTTGGAGAAGCCTTCGCAAAGTATGCAATTTGCATATCTTTTCTAGTCAGAAACTTGATGCCAATCAGCACCTGCGGCGCAGGAAAGTTGAACAACTCCTCGCCACGGTTCGAGATAGTGGCCGTCTTGGCGAGGCAGTGGATATAGGTCAAGCAGCTTTCGGTGCTATAGTAAATTTGTTGTCTAATAGCATTTTCTCTGTGGATTTGGCTGACTCAAATGCACAAAGTTCGCTAGAGTTCAAGAAAACTGTTTGGAGTATCATGGAAGAGGCAGGAAAGCCTAACCTGGCTGATTACTTTCCTTTGCTCAGAAAGATTGATCCGCAAGGTATAAGGCGCAGGATGACTGTTCATTTTGGGAAGTTGCTCGAGCTTTTTGATAGAATGTATGATGAGCGGTTGCAGCTGAGGAAAGGGAAGGGTTTTGCCACAACAAATGATGTCTTGGACACTCTAATCCACATCACTGAAGACAAGACAGAGGAGCTGAATAGAACACAAACAATCCATTTGTTAAAGGTGATCTTTCCATTGTTTTTCATTTTTTATCCTCTCTAGTCTCTAGATTCGAGTGAGAATTTGGGCAAGTGATGAGCTTCTGACTCAATCTTTTGTAATGAGACAGGTGTTATTTGTTGTTGGAACTTGTTGGGGGAGACATGCGGCTTAGTGGGGCGACATTAAGTGGTTCATTATATGTTTCGACACCATATTGGAATCCAAAGACTAGCTTCTTAGTTTCATGGGTCTTCATACATATAAGCCACTCTTCACACTCACAAGGGAACATACTACAATACTTCCCCTTTCACTTGTGGGTTGTGAACACACCGTGAAAGTTCATCCATTTTTTTTTTAATTTTTTTGACATACATATATGACATGATCCATGTGTATACTTATCATTGAATTTACCATTGATTATTTTACGCCATTGCAGTTGTAAAGGTATGCATTAGGGATGACAACGGATCCCTACGGGGGCAGGGACCCCCTCCCTATCCCCATCCACGTCAATGACGAGCACGGGGATCCTCATGGGGATTTTTGGCGGAGGATAAAAAATAACCTCCGTCCTCATACATGCAGAGAATAATAGGTCCTAGTAGGTATTCGGAGTCTCCACCAAATAAAACTCGATACTCGTTTCTCGTTTGAGAATTAACTGAAGATAGAACGAATTAAGAGTTTGCATGAGCCTCAAAATAACAATACAATTATCGTTCGCTACAAATGTAAGAAAGAAGTTGTGCAGGTATGTAAACAATAAAAATCGCATTCTGACAATCTTGCGAACAATTGGGGGGAAAATGAAATCGGAAATAATAAGGCCAAAAGAATGATATCTGCTTCACCTCAAAATAAATCATCAAGTACAAATACTTAGATACTCACAACTCAAGCTCAGACAAGCTGCAAGTAGCCGACTGAAGAATAGAAACAGAGTTATGAGCACTACCTTTCAAAGGTTGCCAAGAATGATAAGTTGAAGGGAATTAACCGATTGAAAAACAGAAACAAAGCTAGTGAGCTACAATGCAGGGAAGATGAGATTGTAGTCTGGAGAGAGGAATCGCAGAGCAGATTCGCAAATCTCAAAAATTTGAAATAGTCCTTCTAGTTATAGGGTTACTAGCAAATTGCATTGGGCTTGGGTAATTAAGTTTAAGAAGATTATGGGTTGGACTGGACTATATAATTGGGTTTGGAAAAACTGAAAAAAAAAATGGATTGATCAATTAATTAGGTTGAGTAAATAAAAATTAATTGTTAATATATTAAAAAAA